CCTTACAAGTTTGAACAGGCCCTTACTTTTGTTCAATTTATTCCATTATTAATAAAAAGTACAAGCTTTGTGTTTATTAGACATACTCATAGTATTTCAGTATTGATCACTGCTATAAGTGGAGTTCTACTTGTTTAACAGGAAGTGCTAGAACATTGTTTACTTCTTAGTAGTCACTAAGTAAAAACTAGTCATGAACTTGGTAAATATTGTTGGTATAAAGACGAGATAGGCAAATAGGCCAGGTGGACTGATTATACAGGGGGTTGAACCAGCAGTTTAGGGGGTTGAACTGGCAGCCGCCGGCAAAATAGCGCTCATTTCGCACACTGTAAACCTCATAAATTTATTAGTCTTCAAAGGTCCAATAGACAATATCGAAGACGGAAAGAGACAAAGTTGATCAAATACTAGACAGATCAACACTGTGAATCGCAGTAGAAACCCCCTCAAATTTGCAATGAACTACAGCGGAGGGGAGAGAATTCCAATACGGAATTACAAAAAAACTAGACAGAGGGCACTCACGGAGAGTGCATACCTCCGCCAGCATGTAACATGTATGTGTTACGAGCTGGCTCGCCGCTCGCTGCTGGCTGCTGCCGACTGACTCGCCTGCTGCTGACTCGACGCGCTAATATCGATCGCGCGAACACACACACACACACTAACGCACGAGAGCGATCGCATAACCTCCTCCACTCCGTGGGCAGCGGTAAAGAAGCTAAACTTAGAGTGATCCTTTGAAGATCGCACGTGTCGAAAGCAATGAATGATCACGCTCAGATGATCAAGCTAATGTGACAGTGTTCTCTGTCTCCGTGGTATTGCAACCAGAACAGACAGCTTCAAGTTTAGTTTCTTCCCCAGGACAGTACCAGTTTGGAACTCTTTACCAGCACCAGTTGCTGAGGCTTAGTATCTGTTAAGGGGGGGCTGTCACGTCATTCTGTAGCCCTGGTATTCTGTTGTTACTTTAATCCATCGGTCGGTGAGCGTAGACAGTGATGGTCTAAAAGGTTGTGTATATTATATATGATATAGACGTCTTTATTTGAATACCTATGTTGCAACGTACCTGCGTAGGTCGGCCTAGCTAGTGCCACATCCGACTCTCTCGAATATATTTTTATTTCTCGCTTATATAGGCATCTCATTATGCCATACGTCACAGATCAATATAACCAATGACCAGCCCACATGCCGTATTGATTCTGTATAATTCCGCTGTCCGGGTGTAACATGTTCAGACATGTGACAATGAGTCATCAGGCAACAGCTGTTATGAGGCAGCAACCTATTTTGCGTCGCCACGTCGCCACATTTCACCCCACCATATTCAAGTCGATTAAACCGGTAATTCAATCGGCTTGTCAGTCTCCTGACTGATTACAACCATACATTTATAAGCCAAACACCATGTAAACGTAAATATTACTGTAAAATATTGAGAAATGCTGTATCATAGTGTCCTATCCGAGTCGAGCATTGGGGCCTCGTTAAGCGTGATCAACCCGTGCACGGTGGTGATCGTTACTTAACCGCCCCCGTTAAGGGGTTAGTCAGATGCTGCGGCATTTATCGTTCTGCTGATCTCCCTGGCGTTCTTCCGCGTTGATGTGTGGTTTGTCCATCCCGCTGCGTCCAACGGCTGATACATGTAGCGTTGAGGGCTGCAGGCGATAATGTCGGTAGACTGAAACGTATGCTGTTATCCCTGTTAGTTAACGTTTCTACTCGTGACTTGTTAATACGATGTTCCTTGCACGACTCATAGAACTAAAGTTCCTCGGCTAATCATTAGTCGTTATTATCGCTGAGAGGGTCTATGTCCCCCAGAGTACTGCCGGAACGTACCCTGGTACTATCTAATATGCCTGACCGTACCTCGCCTACTCCACTAACGAGTCTAGGGAGTCGACTACGCCTACTCCCTAACCCTAACCCTAATCCTAACCATATCAAATAGTGACCAGGGTACGGTCCGGCAGTAACCTGGGGGACATAGACCCTATGAGCGCTATTATCGGTGTAGTGCCATCTGCACTCAGCATGTCAACCATAGCTATCTCTACACGAAATATAAGTCCTTAACTATGAGCGCTGTTCCATACATATATGTAGACTAAATTCTACGGATCCTTTACGTTACAACGTATATACCGTTTTATACTATTAAACACATGGTACGAGAATATATGACCGTGGTTAAACATACATACAATTTTACTTAAAACTCGTCCTTGCCTCT